TGATGCGAAACGAAAATGCGAAGGAGACGACTGCGAATACGAGTCGAGAATGAGTGAGAAGGTGAGTTTGCGGGGCGGAGAGGGGCGCCAAGAAATGAAACAAAAATTGGCAAAAGGAAAACAAGAAAAACAAAAAGGGAAAACACAATGGGCGACCAATGATGATGATACGAACACAGACAAAAATATCACCGGCTGAAAACTATTTTTGGGAACTAATTCTGTAAGGTTGCTTTAATGAATATAATAAAAATTTACTTTTAATCAAAATCTTGAATAGGAAAAATAAAATTAAAGGTAACTATGAAAAGTTTTAAAAGTAATAATGTATTATAGCTGCTTAGATTTTGTAAGAAGATTTCTTAAAACTATTAATATGTTATAGTTTCTTAAAACTATAACATATTAATAGTTTTAAGAAATCTTCTTTATTGGATTTATTTAAAAATTTAATTTAAAGTTAAAGAATTATATTTTCTAGTGTACTTATTCCTTCTGCCAAGGAATGGCAATGGAGATGAAAAACTGAACGAAATCAAAGAATATAAAACGGAGGGGCAAACAACAAAGAGCTGCAGGCAGAATGCCAGAACCAGAAACGAAAACTAAAGTTGAAACGCTTTTAGACATTTCCGAGATACACACGCAGACACAGATACAAACACACACACACACACACAGCGGCGAATATTTCAAGTTTCCTAGCCTCGATTTTCCGTTTTCCTCGACGTTTAAATATTTCATTTTGTCAAAAACCAAAAAAAAAAAGAATGGAGAATGGAGCAAGGAATGCACCGAAAAAAACATCGAAAAATGGGGAAACGAGAGCAGCTGCCAAAGCTTTTAGGTAAATTAAATAATTTTCCCTCCTCTTCTGTCATTTTAGTTGGAATGAAAAATTGCTGGGGCAGCACGAATAGTTTGGTTTATTTTAGCCACAGCTCGAAAGCGACAGCAGGAGCTATCCATCAAAAACTACAGAAGCATTCTTGCTTAATTTATGACTTAATAAAGCCAGTATCTCTGCTCGCCGCTGGATGTCCATGTTAATCAGATATTCCCAGCGCAGAAGTTCGACGCTTCGATTGAAATATGGCCGCAACGGAAATGCTAAATGGGACTGAGCCCAGAGCCATGGGTTCTGGAATGGAAATGCATTCCATGGTTATCAATTACCAATTACCATTCCCGGCGAGGAACGAGGTGCATGTGTGCACCGGATAATGTCAATCAGCGGACATTCTTCATCTTTGTTTACTCACTCACCTTGGGGCGTACTCTTGTTTGTTTTCAAATTTCCTGCAGCCTGCTGGCCATTTTACTTATCCAAGGAGCTGCCTCTCGAGCGGAGTTTTTAGGGAGTTAAAAGCGAATACCGCGCACTTCGTTTGGGGATCGACTTTCAAATAAACACTACTTCTTCCGCCACAAACTGAGTTGCCGGTTCTTGGCCTGAATTGCGGCCAATCGATTGGCCAGGCCGCGTTTGATTTGGTTCGATCAATCAGGGGCCGTAAATCATAATTGCCAGGCAATTTGTCTTGGCCATGGAAGTTGACTGGGCGAATTGATAACCGCCAGTCGCGAATGCATTTTCCACACAGCGCTCTTAATTGAGATAAGGAATTTATTCTGGGTTGAACAGCAAATGCAATCAATTCGTTGCGAAGGGAACTGAACAGACTCAGTCGATTATTAATTATTAAAAAAGGAAAATATTGATAATATTGAATTTGTGATTACTACACTGGGAAATTTCATAGTTGTAGAAAATTTTGCTAGTTATTAATGTAAATTGTTTGAATACAATATTAAAAAAAATAAAATAATTACAAATGAATTATTTAATTAAAGATTTTCATTGTGTTTTTTAAACTAATGTTTTATAATGATAAATGCTGTTTTAGCCATAAGTTGTTTTGTTATTTTCTTTTAAACAATATATCAACATGCTTATAATGCCATATCTCCCTTCCTCCCTTTTTCTGGTCATAAATCGTCAACAATGTCTCCATTTTCGTGAACATCCATTGGACGGCCATTACAACCACAATTGACACAGTGATTTACGGCAATGAAAATTATTCACCTGCACAACCAGCCAACACACACACATGCGAATCGGAGGACAACACACCTATGAGGGGAGGGGAAGGGGGAAAAGTGGAGAGAAGTGGGGAAGTGGAGACCGCAGGCGACGCTTGTCATAAAAAATAAAACGAAATTGTCGTCACTTTTATGACTCCCTACCGTGGGCCCAACTCGGATTCAGATTCGGATCCCCGGCTCTGAGTTGCCTTGCTTTGTGGCAGTGGGAAGTCGTATTTTAGGCAGCTCCTTAAAAAGTCACTTGAACGGAAAACGCAATATAGGCCCATCGGTGAGCAGGGAAAATACAGAAGCGAACAGCGAACGGTAAAGCTTCTTTTGTGTACTTTTTTAATGAGCTGTCAGAATTATCATAAAGCAATTAAACGCATTTCACACTCATAACCGTAGGCGAGTATTCAATCCGCACGCACTGCCTGCCACGCCCCCAAACGATACACCGCCCCTTCTTTGCCACTGACACTAATTGGTTGCTTTATGGCCCAGTTAAATCGTAAAACTCAAATTTTATGCTTTGTCACTGAAACGATTATGACGTCCGCTGCTCGAAGGAGTCCTCCGAAGATTCTTAGCCGCCAATCCGGGAATCCCGTCAAGTGGCTTCATCTCCGGCGTCCGTTCCCTTAATGCCCCCTGATTTATGTCCCCGCCCGAGTTATTTGCGCCAATTTACAGATTGATTTCGGTCTTAAGTTTTTACTGTTTACTGTCCCCTGTTTATTCATCGCCTTTTGCACCTACTTAATTTTCTTCTCCTCTTTAGCTTATGCTTTATGGCTCTTACCAAACTGCGAAGTCGCGCGATATTCGGATAACAAATCCGCATATGTTTACTTTGGAAAACCAGTTTTTAGTCATTGGTTGCGCAGGGGTAATAACACCTGATTTTGAACCCATTAAATTAAGGAGAGAGCCCATATTTAAGATAAACAAAGGTTATATTGTACTCAATAATTAACATTCGTTTAAATTAATTAACTCATTTTAATGTTATCGGTTGTATTAAATGTTGATCGTTTTGCAATAAAAAATCTTAATAGTAGATTTAATATTTGTGTAATGTATTTTTAAATCCCTATCATTCCCAGCATTTTGGATTTTATATGTAACACTGATATATTCTTACTTAATTTTATATCGATAAAAACTTTATAAATGCTATTACACAAAGGGAAAGTTAAAAGTATTGCAAAGAAGACATATAAAATGACTGACTGAATATCATAAAATAAGATAAAGCCCAATGATTGAGCTAAAACGAAAAAATTTCTCTAATCCGTGAAGGTCATGCATAAATTTGACCTCTCCACTCGATGTTCGCTCTACTCAAATGTGCGAAGTAAACAAAAAAAAATGAAAAAGACGAAAAATAAATGTTTGTGTTCGGCTTCAATGTGTAGGCGCATTGTTTCAACAACAAACAACGCGATATATTTAAACGATTCCACATGCGAGTGTGTCTACGGGAGTATAAGTAAGTATATTCCAATCGGGCTGATTTGTTTATGTGGGTGAAGGCGCGAAACTGTGACGAATGGATCGGCAATCGGGAATGGAAATGGAAATGATAATTAACCGCACCTTATCACGAACGGCTGTCCTCGATTGGAACTCGCTGCCTTCGCCCTTGTCCCCGGGCCTTTGTCATGATAATTTCGCCCATAATCATTTGACAATGATAATTTCACCCATTATCATTTGATCTGGGATGCATTCCAACTAAAGCCGAGACACGAACCCTCGAGGATGCACTTTCCGATTGGGAAGGAAACCCATTGGCGAAGACTTTGTTCAACTTTGTTGTTGTGCCCGTGCGATTGCCCCAATCATTCTTATCAGCAAAAAGCAGAGCTCTGGCATTGTTTGATACTTGCCACCCACAATGCATCCAACTTTGTTGCCAAGCGAGCGAGAAACTTATTATATTCCCGCCCGCACGAACCCCTCAAAAAATGAATGCAAGCCCAAAAAAAGGAGAGAAAAATAACAAGACGAGTGGGAAAAGCTGGCAAAGCAAGGAAAATCGTAAAAAAGGAAATTGCATTTCCCCAAAGCAGCGAAAACTTGCGCAGGACTTTTGAGATTCTATTAAATTCTAACAAGATTTCCAGCTGTGTGGAGAGGGAAGAGGAAGAGCGCGGGAAGTGCAGCGTCCAATAAGCAAATGGCACTGTCACGGCAGAGAAAACAGAGGGCGGAGAAAGGGGAAGAGAAAAACCCAAACAAAAACAGAACAAATTGTAGAATTATTTGAAAAATGTACGCACAATTATTTTTTAATACATCTAATTAAAAAGGTAAACTGGATTAAAAACTTGGAAAAAGTCATTATTTCATGTTTGTTTTGTTTTAATAGTAACAAATAAGAACAATTTTAAGAATGCCGCTAAGAGCGCCAAGTGAACAGGTGCAGCATTTATGAAAGAGAAGAGAAGCGGTAAGAGAAACAAGCAAGAGTGCCAGCTCACCAACACATAGACATTTTAAGAGAGCCGCAATAAGAGAGCCCGCACGCACACCAAGAAAAAGTCCAGTTGGAAGAGAGTGGTGGTTTGAGTGTATTAGTAAGCAAGAGAATGGCTGAGTTTTGAATGTTTTGGAATTTAGTCGGAGTTCAAGCAAATGGTAAATTTACTGAATAACAATAAAATTTAAAATTAAATTAAGAAAGAACTTTATATTATTTTTTAGGTTCGAAGAAATTAAAATACTATAATTATTAGCCTGTAAATTCCAACTAGTTTTCAAAAATTACTCCAATTTGTTTCTGAATTTAGCAATGACTTTTTCCTTTTGGTTTGTGTATTGTCTAAGCCTAGCCTTTCTGCGCATCCTTTTTTATTCTAAGTACTTCCTTCTCGCTCTAAGTCACCCCAAGTACCGTTACTTACCCTGGGCAACGTCCTCCGGTTTTCGACCTTTGTTTCTGCTTTTTTTTGGGTATCGGCGCAGTCGCAGAAACTCCCTCGAAATTCTTCAGCCCCCTCTCGTGGGCAATCCTGTTTTTGGGCCTTTGTTTTTTCGGGCGCTCCGAAATTCGGTCGCTCACGTCGGAAGAACTTCACAACAGCCGCATTCGCAGGTGAGTGGCGAGCAGCATGGCCGCTTTGGAATCGGAATATCGAACTGCCGTTGGCACGAGCGAGAGAGGGAGAGTGCGAGAGACCGGACGGCGCGCTCTCTTTTTCACATCCATGATGGCTGCCGCAGTCGCTGTCGCTAGGCAACCATTGAAACCCGGAGGCAGCGCTGCCGGCGACGCAGTCGACGCAGCCCAATCTCACACATTCCAACGGCATTCCGCATTCGACTCTCTTCTCTTTTCCTCTTCCTTTTCTGCTGGCCATCATGGCGCTCCATTAAATCCACTTTTTCTTCGCCGGGAATTTGTATGGCCGACATTTTCGATTCAGCCGACGGCATTTTGTTGGGGGATTGCTGGAGCTAAAAAAACAGATGATTGGAATTTGTTAATTAAAAGTTATTCAGTTCGCAGATTAATTGTTCTTTAATTAAAAGTTATCGTGATTAAATATTACCAAGCTTTAATTTTTTTAGGTAAAATTTATTATTAAAACCATTTTTATAAAGTACAACTATGGACATTAGGAAAGATTATGTTATTGATGCTTTACCATATCGGATGGATTATTGTTTTTAAATAAGTACCTATAAATGAACTAAAATTTAACTTTTCGAAATATGTACTTTTGAGCTATTAAAAGAAAACATTTTTTATTTAATTTTGTATACATAGATATTTCTAAATTTCAAATTCAAGTAACATATTTAGTATAAAATCTTATAATGAAAATGCCCTAAGGTTTATTTCCTGTTTTTAAGATTGTGTGGTATTGTAGTTTTTAAAGTTCGGAACTTCATAAAGGCTTAACAGGATCTCTCCAAAGAATTTTCACTTAAAACATTTATCGAATCCAATGTGAAATGAATCAGCATTTGGATTTAATGGGGAGACCGAAATACATTAGCAAAACTATTTCATCGGGCTGGCAATAAACCGAGAGATGAGAGGACCCTTGCCAGAATTAAAATCTCCAATTTGATTTCCATCGCGGACAAACAAAGGAAGCGACGCCTCGTTGACATTTGCCAATAAAAATAAATAAAATACCATTTGTTCAGGAATCCGACATCGGTCCCCCGACATCTCTTGCCCAAGTTTTCTATACTTTTGGCCATGCTCACCGGCGGCGACTAAAAATAAATGCCGTCTTTTAGTGAAGGCGTTTGGGGACCATTTTCGGGGGCGTGAGGCGGTTCCCAGGGGGAGGGAGTGGGTGTGGGCGGGGTGTGTGTGTGCGTTGCGCATTTTAATACAATTTAATGCCCCATCGTGTGCCACCTCGACCTCCACCACGGATATATTCCCTAGCTCACCGTTCCCAGCTCCCCATCAACAATCGAATGCGATACCATCGATGGTGGACCTGGAGCTGAATTGGAATCCAGATTGCCGGGATGCCAATGCCAGGCGAAACCCCGAATTTCCGGGACACTAGCAAAGCCTTATTTTTATTGGAAATCGTTTATCCCGCCAGCAAAGTCCCAGCCCAGCAAGAAAAACGTGCCGTTTGTTGTGAAAATATCATAGGAAAATAGGGCACAGTGGATTGATACATAGTTTCAACATGTTAAAACATTTTTTTAAGCAAAAAATAATGTTGAAATTAGGTATATAATAAGAAAGTTATTAGGTTAATTATTGTTGGAAGAAAAAACAAAATATTAAGCTTACAAATGATTAATGAAAAACTAGCTTATTGCTATCAAAGAAATAGATGTTTTCTGTAAAAAAAAAATGTATACTTTATATGGATATAAATTAACCAATAATAAATGGATAGCACTTAGATGTCAACACGTTCTCAAAACACTTTCTCAAACCACTTTTGTTTTCCTAATAGAACTGCAGTATTATTTAAATCAAAGTATAATGAAAATACCTAATGGGTTTAGCTCTTTAATTATCGTCCATGCCTAAATCAGGTTTCCCCGAGAAGTGTTCCAAAATGGTTTTAAGCTAATTAAGTTTGCCCCACACCCATTCCACTGTGGAGAGTGATTCACGCACCCCAACACGCTTTTGTTTTCGGCCTTGCCATTTAAGTCACAAACGGCGGAATTAGTTTTCCGTTTCGTTGGCATTTCGGTAGCCGAACATTATTCCGGGGCCATCCTCCCTCGCATTGATATGCGTCCCCATCTGTGGATGCCTCCTCCTTCCCCGATCCAATCCCCATTCCCCACTCCACACTCCCATCTCCAATCTCCTCATCATTATGCGCTTCAGAGCTTTTCGGGATTTTCTACTTCATTGCTATTATCGGGCCCCCGAAGTGAAGGAAAGTGTGGATGGGGTTATGACGGGTCTCATCTGGAATCGCACTAATTTGGCTCGGGACTAGCCCCGCCCACAGTCTCACCGCCCACCGCCCATCGAGGCGTGTGTAGTTGTCGTTGCCCCGATTTTATGATGATGAGTTCAGAGTTCGGGCATGTTCTGCATTAATCGCATCACTTTATGTGGAGCGAGAGCTCTTTCCCTCCTTTCTGGGCACTTGGCAACCTGGTTTCCAGCTGGGCAAAAAGAGTTCGATCTCCGCCGGATTCCCAGGGATTTCATAATGTCCTCACATAACGGCGATAGGCCGTAAAAAAGAGGTCAAGCCAACGACCCTGGAACAGATTTCAGATGAAAACGAGAGCAGTTCGATCAAATTTATTGCTGCCGAGTGACCTTCGGAATGCAGGATTCAAATTTCATATTTCACGGCCTTAACTGGAGCGACAGGACTCGGGACTCGATTCTGGTTCTCTCGTTCTGGGCCAATAAAAGCATTAATGACCATAACAAACGCCTTTGTGCCGCAGTTGCAGCGGTTTGCCCCTCGAGGTCGTTTATCCCGCTGCGTATTTGGTGCGCGCAACTCGTTCGAACCAGAACAACAGACCGAAACTATCCTCACTCCTGTGCTCTCACACATTATCGATGTTCGTTTTTGAGGCCTTTTAAGGCCATCTTTTATCTTGCTGTGCAGAGAGAAAAAAACCAAGACTTTTCTGTTGCTTATCTGAACCTCAAAGGGCTCTTATTTTGTTGATATCCATATTTTAGTTAGAAATAAACCGATTTTTAGTATATTATTGTAGCAGAGTGTTAAGTAATTATTTATACTTTTGAATTTAACTAGTTTTAGAATAATTAAATATAAAGATATTCAGCTATCAATATTCATCAGTTTTTTTTATATGAAACCATAAATATTAAACACATTTTGGAAGTAGGCAACTTACTATTTGCCCATGCAAGTGTATTTTAGATAGATTTAAAAGTAAGTTATATCTTTTCTTTTATATAGATAAATGGAAATAATATCCGTTTTAAATTTACAACTTAGCATTGTACAAATAAAAATGATTTAGTAGAGCTTGAGTATCCTACTTATTGTTTCATAATTTTCTTTCCGTGTGGCCTGTTTTGTTTTTTGTATCATATCGTATATGTTTCTCGATTCTGTTCCCGAGCCCCATAACGGGCCTTGAGTTATGCGAGGCTGGGACCCGAGATAAACCCGTTCCCTCCCTCACTCCTTCCTCGCTCCCAACTCGAACTCATTTAATCCATGAAATGGGAATGCTTTAAGTCGCTGCTCGCTGGTTAGAAATTCTATTTTATGCTTGGGTTCCCATCGCCATCGTCTTTGCCATCGACATCGCCTTCGCCTTCGCCTTCGCAGTTGCCATCGTCTGCCAGTTTGCCAGCCAGCCAGCGATTCAGCCAGCCAAATGGCGATGGCATCTTGCCATGCAATTCGAGCCGGGGGCGTGGATGAGGCCATGGATGTGGATGTCGATGTGGATTGGGATGTGGAGAAGTGGCACTGCCTGCCGGTGGGTGTGGCACTGGAGCCCCTTGGATCCTGCTTGCTCGCCTCAATCGCGCTGGGTTTCTAAGTTTTTTCGCCGACAATTTTATGCATGCGCTACACTGAACAAGACTTAAATACAATACTAAACATTGTATTGCATTAATATACAAATTCGTTTAGGTATTGGTATAAGCAAAACTCAATAATCATTTAGATTTTTATTTAAAATTGCAAACCCTCAGGTGTATGGTAAAATAAAATAATATAAATTGTGTAGGGTTAATAAATAACGTTTAAATTATTGTTTATTATGCACGTAAAAAAAAATGCCAAAAAAAATTCAAAGTGCACCTAAATAATTAAATAATTTGCATGCGCTTCTTATAAAAAATAAACATTTTTCTACCCCCTGCTCAACTTTAACTTTTTGCAGTGTACTTGTAATTTAAGCCAGAGAGCCAAATGTGAAAAACTGAAAAAGGGCAAAAATGTAAAAGGAGAAAACAAGAAAAGAAAGGAGAAAAAATAAAAGCTGCTGCTCGACGACGTCGACATAAAACTTGCAAAATAAGTTTCGCATGTTTCAGCAAACTCAGGTAAGGAAAAAAGGTGGAAAAAAGGTGGAAAAAGGGCGGAAAAGCGAAGGGCGGTCGTGGATTTGCCAAAGGGCTCTCGGTGCCTTGAATATGCAGCAAATATTCTTCAAACGGCTCTGACGTCGGCTCCATTTTATATGCGAAGTGCGCAGGGGGCGGGGCAGAGTCCACCCGCCTTAACAGCTCTTTCTCCACTCCCCACCACCCACCCACCTTTTCCCCCCATTCCAAGCAACCTTCCAAACATCCAGGTAAATGAAAAGATGGTCGCCGGTAAGCCGAAGGGGGCGAAACACGAAATGTACTCCAATTTAATCAAGAATTCTATTCTGTAAATTACTTGCACAAAAACACGACGGAAAGCGACGGAAGGTCGAGCGGGCCAAAAGGACGGGAAACTGAATAGCCGCCTTCTTTTCACAGCGCGAATTTCCATTTCATGTTACAAAAGCGTAAGAGGGCTCGGAATTACCTGTAGTTGGAGCCGTAAAGCTTTCTGAAGGTGGGGGAATGGAGATATTTGTGCACAAAATATGTGCATTTATCAAATGGAATTCAGCCAGCTCGAGTTTAGCATTTTAAATACTTTGTGTTCTCTGCAAGATGGTTTCAAAACATGAACTTTAATATTATTAGCAAGCTTCTTTAATAAAGATATGCATATACAAGACTAACACATTGAATGTAAATTATAATTAAACCCTTTATCAAGGAAAACCATCACCACTTTTCAAAACCAAACCTCTTTGATTTCTCCCCGCATATTTTTTATCAAACCCAAAATGTAAATTTGAAGACTCTCTTTTCAGTCAACATGACCACCATAAATACTAAACTAATGTTCATAATCAGGCCGATAATTGAAGCTGACATTTTGGTTTTCCATTAAATAAACATGAACATAAGCGTCGAAGATCGAACAATGGATAGCAGGTGGAAACAAATGTTTGGAGCCTCA